AGAGTACCTTCAGAGTAACAGAAGGGAGGAGGTATAGTACTTGTTAGAAACTCTGCAAGAACAGTGAATAATACCGTCACCTTTTGGAGTGTGTTGTATTTTGAGACCTATTAGCTGTTTGTCTTCGGAACATGATTATATCCTTTCTTATGACTAAATTTCTTTAGTCCTTATCAAGTCTTAATTTTTGTTGAATAGATTAAAATTTTCAGAAAAGTTATTTTTGTTTTGTGGTGGAAACAGGCACAATGACATAGAAATGATAATTCTGTGAGTCTTAATAGAATTAAATTTAGGATAGGATACCCAGCTTTTGGAAGTTAGGGTATGTTGTAGTGATCGGCTGCTAATTGGAGCTATCATTGTATAATAGTGTTGATTTTACTTAAATCTATAACTCTTGATTAATGCAAACATAAAAGAAGTAAGAGAGGTAAATTTTGAATTCTGTATGTATAATACGAATTACAGTTTTCTTTCACATTCCCCCTAGTAGCTGACTTGAAAGCATTTACTAGGGCTTTACTCTTCCAGGAAGTACTGCCCTCAAGTATTACTTAAGGCCAGCAAATAAAACCATGTAACTATATGAGAAATGTGAGAGTCAGACTTGGATTTGTGTGATATGCTTTTGGTGACGTTTATAAGCAGCTTTTTTTTTTGTTGTTAAGATTTTATTTATTAGAGAGAGAGAGAGAGAGCAAGCACAAGGGAGGGAGGGGCAGAGAAAGAGGGAGAAGCAGTCTCCCCATTGAGCAGGGAGCTCGATGCAGCACTTGATCCCAGGACCCTGAGATCATGACCTAAGCCGAAGGCAGATGCTTAACTGACTGAGCCATCCGGGCATCCCTCCCCCTGCTTTTTAAGATTTTATTTATTTGAGAGAGAGAGAGAGAAGCAGCTTCTTTCTTGATAGTTCTTTCCAGTGACTTTCTCACCTAAGGCCAGGTTTCTGTAGGGAAGCCATATTGGACAGTACTGCGCAGTATATGAAAGGTTTTATTTATTTATTTTATTTATTTTTATTTTTTAAAAAGATTTTATTTATTTATTTGACAGAGAGAGAAATAGCGAGAGCAGGAACACAAGCAGGGGGAGTAGGAGAGGGAGAAGCAGGCTTCCCGCCGAGCAGGGAGCCTGATGTGGGACTCGATCCCAGGACCCTGGGATCATGACCTGAGCTAAAGGTAGACGCTTAACGACTGAGCCACCCAGGCGCCCTATGAAAGGTTTTAGAATTCCCTTTTCTTCTTGCTGATCTTGCTCATCGCCTTGTTTGCTAGCCTTCTAACGATTACTGTCTCATCTCACACAATACTGTCATTTTTGTCGTACTGAAATTTGCAGTGGAAGTTCTCATAGGAGTACCAGAATGCTAGAGTTGTGTGATTTATTTTTTGTGTGGGATGGGGAGAGGTGGTCCACATTGTTTTCCTAGATTTTGTGTCAGTTTTTCTATTTCCGTTTTTTATATTCTTGAAAAAGCAACATTCTTATATAGTTTACTTCACTTATTCAGTGAATCCTTATCAAGCCCCTGAACTGAGCAGGGTCTCGGAGGTAAAGCAGTGCCCAAGATTGAGGCAGGCTATGCCATCACTGAGCTTAGTGCGAGTCCTGACATCTAGAATATCTAGATGCCTCTTCTGTGGCCATGGCCTCTACAAGAGAAGAGAAATTCCCTCTGCCATCTCCTTATTACCTTTAGGTGACAGATGTATGTGCAGAAGGTTAGAAACTCTTACTGACCATTTCTGTAATTAGGCCCGGAAGACAGTATGTGCAGAAAACAGACCATATTCTTTCCTGCCTTGGAGATTGGGTTGTACTGGGGGCAGCCAGACAACAAACATACCGTGTAATTCAATCACGTGGTATCTGAGAAGGTGTGAGTGCTGTGGGAAATGAAGCAGGGTAAGTAAGGGCATGGGGCAGGCAGTGTAAAGGTGGGCACATGCCTGGTATGGGCAGAGGACAGCAGGGAGGTCAGTGTGTCGAAGCCCAGGAAACGGGAGCCAGGCCATGGCGAGACAGAGGCTGTAGGTGGGAGGGGAGCCACCTGCGCAGGGCCTTGCGGACCATGCTGAGTATGTAGTAAGCACTGCTTCTGGCAGAATTGGGGAACTGTTGGTGAGTTTTAGCAGAGGAGTGAAATGGCGTGGTGGGCGTCACGAAGGGGTTGGTGTGGCTGCTGGTCGGGAACAGAGTATAGGGCGGCGAGACCTGTAGCCGCGGCCGGTGGAGCATGGCAACCGCCTGGGCCGGTGGCGGCCGTGGACGTGGGGGCACGTACACAGTCTGGATTTATTTTAAAGGCAAGGATATTGGGTTTTGCTCATGGATTGCTTTGAGGAAAAAGACAGGAGTCCAGGATGACTACGGATTGGGGTCCGAGTAAATCGTAGTATCTTTCTTGTAAATTTTAATGAAGAGTTTACCTGTGAGGTAGGACTTCCCAGAGTTGCTTTTAACTCTACTGATACGATGAAGAGTTTTTTAAAGAATCTGTGGAACTTTTTAAGGAATGACTGCCTTTATGTTAGTGTGTTGTAGAGTTTCTTATTCAGAGGGCATAAAGGGACTGCTCACTTTTTTCACTTACGCCACCATTAACATAGGCCTTTCCTGCTCTTTTCAAGACGTTAGTGGATCGGGAATCTAGGAGCATAATTGGGGCTTTCCTATTTAGCGGGAAGAAAACAGGAGTGATGCTGTCACAGAGTAACTGGTCCTCGTGTAATTTCTCAGCCCTTTGGCCGTAGGCCCGTGCCCCACCGCCTGAACCACGCTCTCCTCTTCGCTGCACGTGGGGAATGAGCCGCTTGGTTGGGGTTGGGTCAGGAGTGAAGTACGATGGTTTTCTCTGGGAGAGCGCCTAGCACAGTAGTTTCTCCTTTGTATGGCCGAGCCCCATCCTCCTCTGCCTGTCCGCTCTTCTCAGCAGCCCCGGTGCTTCCCAGCTCTTCTGGCTGGGCTCTGCTTGGTGGCCTGGAGGGGTCTTTGCTTCTTGGATCTTGTCATCTTTTGTACCCTCAGGACTTGGCACACGAGGAGGTGATATTTGGATTTTGAGATGAATGTAAATTAGCTTGGTGGGGTGGGAGAGAAAGCTGCCCCCCACCGGTTACTTTGCAGTCAGAGACTTGGCTTCCCCTCTCCCTCACCTAAAGAGCTCCCACGTCTGTTCTCTCGTCATCTCCTCTACTGCCATGGAGGCTCCAGCCGCCACCGTCACTCGTTTGCACCAGCCTCTCTCTCCTGTGCAGGTGCTGCTTGTGGCAGTTAGTCAGTATGGCTCAAAAACCTTTTCTGGGTGTGTGCGTACATGAAGACCTCTGGCTTCTTGGATGACAGGTGGGCTCAGTGAAACTGTGTCTCTTCCTGACTGTGTGACTCCATCTTTAACTCATCTTTAGAAGATGTGACAGCACTGATTTTGCTTAGAAGATGTGAAAATTGGGTGTGTAAAATACCGTTGGCAACTAGTAAAGGTAGCTTCTGTTTTTTAACTCTGGAGTCATAAGTTCCAAGAGAGACTCAGTTTGCTTGTGTCTTTGGTATGTATATTATTTGATGGTTCAGATTAAATCCCAAGCCATTCTCAGGGGCCTGGGTCGGATACCAGACTTGCTTGTGGGGTGTACTTGGATTCCTCCTACGATGAGGGTAGGCCTTTGTGTCCCGAGCGTCCTCGGTAATGGTGATCTGTCTGCTTGTTTCTTCGGTTTTCTTCCTAGCTTGCTCGCCTGTGTTTTTCTGGAGTCCCTTTTCTTCCCAGTGTTGCCTGGGGTCAGAGTTCACGCTGGTGAATGGTTGTGTTTTCACTGGGGGCATCTAAGAGGTTATTTGAGCTCTGACTGCTATTAGGAGGCTGAATGTAACTCCTGGAGACAAAGCCATCATCGAGAGTAGTGTGTCAGAAATGAAACTAGCTGTCTTGGGGCATTACTGGACACAGATAGGCCTCTTGTTCCCCTAGCCTTTGTCAGCTCTGGTTTTCACAAGTTAGTGAATTCATAAAGCCTCTGTCGTGTTCACAGTTAAGTAGAAGACTCGATTTTTTCTTCGTTAATGGGATTTGCTACAAACAGAATTACCCACGTTAATAGGAGAGCTGAACTGTGTATGTCTTGAATGTGTATCACATGTGCTCAGACAACAGAGGCTGGAGGAGCCCAGTTTCTTACTGTCTTACTGCCAGAGTGGAGTGTGTTTAAATAGCTACATTTTAGAGACGACCGAGACTCTCTGTCAGTTTGAATGGAAAAAGTGTAAGTAGCTTTACATTTTTTGAAAAAAGTTTTACTAGTACAGATTGTTAAGAGTGTTTTTCTGATCTCCTTCTTCAGGAATATGAGTTTAGCACTCACTCATGTTTTGAAATTAAGAAATCAGGTATCTTGGATTCCAACATTCCCTAAGCTAGTTTTAAAAGAATCTCGTAACTTCAAATTCTTGCTTTTATGTGTTTTCTAAATACTTCTATAAATTTGCAAACATACTTCGAAACTGTCAATCTGAAAAAAATCTTTACCTTGGAAATACCTGGGTTCCTATAGACATAGTTTTTACAGATTTGCTTTTAATGTTGATCAAGGTTTTTCCCCCAATATTACTCATTTTTCATCAAGGCAATTATCTTAAGTCTTAAGGTCAGAATTAGGCTGGTAAAAAGCCAAAGGCATGACTTTGAAAACAAAAATAGTTGGAGGAGTCATCTGCAGACATGATCTGGGTCAGACTTGATTTGCAGCTTACTCAATTTTAGAATTGCCTGTTGGTTTTGTGAGCAGAGGTCTGCCAGATGAATTGAGCAGAAGGGTGGGGTTAGCATATTAATCAGGTACTGGCTCCTGGCCTTCTTTTTCTCCTCCCTCTTTCCCCTCCCTCCCTCTCTCCTTCCCTGAATGAATCTAGGAACACAGGCCCGTGGGGTCACATTACTAGCAGGTTTCATTCTGCTCAGGAGCTTAATCTAGCCAGGATGGTCTGTGTTTCAGATTGCGGAAGCAGGAGAAGATTCTGTAACTGAGAGGCATTCTTCAAGCTGCTGGAAAATATTACAGAAGGAGCACCTCCCAAATTTTGCTTCAATTTCTGAGAAAAGGAGCACACAGGGGAAACTTAGTGTGGATGTGGATCGAAGCGAACGCTGTGGGAGCGATGAACGGGGACTTGGTGCGCGGACGCCTGGTCTGATCTTGAGAGACCTGAGTTTATGTTGCTGGAACTGGCGGGCCAAGGGGCCCTGAGACCAGCAGGTGCCGTCTGTATGGAGAAGAGCGGCTGTAGTCCATTTCCAATGTGTTGGGCTAAAGGTATACGTAATTTAAAAATCTATTTGGTTTAAATTTTATTCAGATTCATGCATTTGCACTAAAAAGATGGGTAAGAGTTTTTCAGACTTTAATTCAAATAGATTTACAATTAAATTTAAGGAAAAATGAAAATTGATGTGGTATAGGTTTGCAGCTCTTGGCATAAAACTAACTAGGTAGCTTTTAGAAAAGTAAATAAAAATATTTTTATGGAAGTGCATTTTAAGTAAGTTTCTATTCTCTGTCTCTTAGAGTTTTATGTTTTGTTTTGTGTGTTTTAATTAAGGCACCCATATCCGTTCTGTGATGTGGAAGTTTTTAAAGAATAAAGAGACTAATTTTAACTTAAATAAGACTGGAGGAAAAAAGAGCAACGTGGTTTTTCTTATTTCAAAAATTGGTTTTCTTTACTCACTGTAAAGATTGTGTATTTAATTTGAAACTCTATATCATTGTAAGGTGGGCTTACCACTAAGGGTCAGTAATACTGTAAATAAACATTTTCCAGTTTAATGTTGTTAGGGTTTTCCTTTGTATAAAATTATAAATATAAAATAAGCATTTTCATTGTAACATTCAAGACAGTATTTGGGAAGCATGTTTAGAAGTTAAAAATGCCGTGTGATCCATGTATGAATAAGACCAAATAATTTATCTGCTTCTCTTAAAGTACAAGTGAATATTACCTCTGGGGGGATGAAGTCCATAATAAAGAATTTAATACATATATTATTATTTTAAAGAGTATATTCAAGTATCATGTTAACCTACTCAGGAAAGACTTTTAAAAGGAAGAAACCTGTACTGGGTAAAGACCTGCAGTATTATAAGTAGACCTTCAGGCTCATTCAGTTTAGTGTTTAGCTTAAAACTTTTAAAGCCTCCAGAATGTTGAGGTGCTAGCGCCAGACCACAGTTTTGCTGTTAGATCACTTCTCATTTACCAAATCGTCAGCATCATCTAGTAATTCTTGTCTAGGGTTTTAAACATTTCTTCTTTCTTTCTTCCTTCTTTCCTTTCTTCCTTTCTTTCGTTTCCTTTCCTTTTCTTTCTTTCCTTCCTTCCTTCCTTCCTTCCTTCCTTTCGTTTTAGGTAATCTCTACACCCAACATGGGGCTCGAACTCACAACCCCGAGATCAAGAGAGTTGCCGACTGAGCCAGCGCCCCTTTTAAACATTTCTAAAATATATGATGTTAGAACTCTTTTAATGTGTTGCTCTCTGAACAAAGCACCTGTCACTTTATTACCTAATTAGGTATTTAAAGTAAAGATTTTGCTGAGTTAAATTCAAACTGTTGAATTTTAAAGGGTGTTGGGTATGGGAACTTTTTAAAAACTGTAACTGAGGTGAGAACCTGAGGACTGCAAAGTATAACTGAGCATGACCAGTAATGAGTGCTCAGAGGCAGAGAGTTTTGTTACTATACTTGTGAAGATTTTGGTCTCCCCCAGACTTGTTGGGACCCGTATGCACAATGCCACCTCCATGGTGTGACAGCCCTCTGTTAGCACTGATCCTTAGCAGTAAAGCTCTGATTTCACTAAGTCGAGGCTGGATTCAAGTCTGTGAATCCAGTAGCCAGTGGGATATTAAATAATTGACTACTGGGTTTTTAAGAAATTCAAGGTGACTTTAGAAATATGAACTTCAGAAGAAGAGACTGAGGTGTTTTTGCTCATCCGAAAGCAGTTGATGGAAGCAACTTACTTTCCCATTATGTTTGCTGATGGGCAGAGCAAGTGAGCAGAGGCCTTTTTAACTGAGATATTTTGATAAAGGTCAGGGTTGGGTAGGAGAGCCTAACCACACGTGCGGAAGAGGGGAAGAGGTAGGGACAGCATCAGGCTTAGAATCGTTGCGTTCGCAGGGCTGGAGCAGGCCATTACCTCTGATGAATGGTCTTGCTTCTGGACCGTGCAAGAGGAGGTTTCTGACGACATAAGGAGGTTGTCACCCTGTCCCCTTCTCAGGGCTGAGTACACCGCCTCCCCAGGGGGACGCAGTGTGCCAGCTTCTCAGTGCACTTCTCTGTACCAGGCCAGGAAGGCAGGACATTTCAGGTTTTATTCTGGTCAGTTGTTGCTGTGTGGTAAAGACAAAGATGTTGGTATATAGGAATTGGCTGAAATGGTTATTTTCAAGTACAAAAGTGTTACTACTTTTAGATAAAGACAAAATGCTCAAGTCCAAAGACTTTAAATCTCTATTTTCAGTTAGAAATTCAAAACCTCACATTTGATTTTATCAGCCACATTAACCTCAAAAACAGTGGTGTCCCAATTTAAGAAGACACAAAATACTTAGTAGAACAGGCTAAAAATAATGGAACAGAGCTATATTTGTATACTTTGAACTGAAACCTCTAAGGTATCCTTAAGACAATCTATGGCTGTCTCTATGATGTAGCTTATTGAATATAGCGCTGAGTGAGGTGTAAGGAAACCATGTTCGGTCGCTCCCACAGAAGATCGTATTTTCACATATTTAAAAGGACTTTGTTATGTGTTCAACTATATCATGATTTCCTAGGCTCAGAGGCAGCTTTAATTCAGAGTACTGAAGTAAAGGTAAATGTTCGCAGTGCTGTGTTTGGTTGCAAGGTTATTGAATCCAGAAAGCCCTGTTGGAAAGTTCGCTGATGACACTAGCATGCACTTTGTTTTGTCTCTCTGAGACTGGGAAGGATTAAAGAGGTGTCAGGGCTGTGCTTATTAGGGATAAGTGTGTGGGTCAGTTTTTTTTCTAGATCTTTCAGTAGCAGATTGAGATTGAGTATACCAATAATCGTGGACGTGTGTGATTCTGGGTCCTGTGGTTGAAGTCATGCCTTTTCTGTATCAATATTTTAAACTCCCTCTCCCCCTGCCTCCACCCAGATAGTTCTGTGTGCAGCCCATCCTCACTTCTGTGTCTCACACTTAAGTGGTCAACCGCCTCTTGGTATCTACATTTGTATTTTTCATAAACATCTGATACTTACCTGCCAGAGAGGAGCCTCTTAACTATTGTCCCTGAAGTCCGTCCCTCCCCCAGCCCTCCCTGTCTTAGTAAGCACGCTGGACCCCCACGCATGTAGCCGCTCCTGCCGCAGACCCAGGATGCCTCTCTGACGCTTCCTGCCGCGTGGAAGGAATCCCTCCGTCTCCAGCACCGTCTGGGCTTCCTCCCCCCTCGCCCTCTCTGCGGCGGCATCCACTCTGCGCCGCGCGACCTTCCTCTCTCTCTGGGCTGGGGGCGTTGCTTCCCGTTGGGTCTTCCCGTTTCCTCCCACGTTCGTCCTTCTTCACGCAGCTGCCGGAGTGAGTTTGTAAAAACACGAAGGCAACGTTACTCTCCTTCCTAAAACTCCCCGCTGGCCTCTTCCTGGATAAAATCGCAAATCCGTCACGGGGCCTCCGAGGCCTCACCTGATGCGGCTTCTCCCCGGCATCTCCGGCTTCTTGGGGCCGGGCCGTTGGCCTCCGGCTCAGCAGCAGTGCGGTCGTTTTGCCTTGGGAGCACCTCAGACCCCCAGGGCTCTTCCCTGGCAGGCCTTCTGCGCCTGTGCTTGCCTCTTGCTTCCCTGCTTGGCCTGCTCCTCCCGGCCTCGCGGGTCTGAGCCTGACGGCCTCTCAGCCCTGTCAGTGTAGCCCGCCTTCTCCCTGACGTTCCCTCCCTGAGCCCTGTCTTCTGGTCCTGCGCAGCACCTACCGCCATTGACCGCCATTGCTTTCTCTCTCTTCGCTGGGAAGTAAACCCAGCACCGTCGGGGACAGTGTCAGGTGTTCTTCTGCGTGACAAGGTATCGGCGCAAATGGATATTACCTTAACGAATGAATAAATTATGCGCTTAGCTACTCCTCACGCCCTAAGAACAGTTGGCGCGAGTTGTAGACTGGAGGTTGAGTCTCTCCTGCAGCAGCACACACCGCGTCCTAGCGCTCTCAACAGATGGGCCTCGGTTGGCCTCCCAGGGCCTGATCGCCTCCCTGGGAAGTATCTCTGTGGGCCTCTGCCATCCCTCCGGGGCTGTGGCCGTCCTGTCTGCCAGCCAGCTTGAGTTGCTAATTGACCACGGGGAAGACAGATTGAAACTACATTTATATGTAAGTGTGTGCATTTATTTTATAATTGTATTTATGTACATAGTCTAGACATCTATACCTTTACAGTACAAGGTGCTAAACGCTTTCCAGAAGAGTGACTCAGTTTTCCGAGTGCCCAGCATGAGGGAGCCGCTTGTGGTTTCTGGCACACAGTAGGCCCGCAGTAAGAATGCTGAGCTGAGCTCCGGTCCGCCCCCTGCTTGGCCCACGGCCAGCGATGCGGGGAGAGACAGCCTCCTCTCCACCGGCCTCTCCCTCGGCTCCGCACCGCGGGTCGTTAGTTTTAGGACAGGACCCTGCCGCACGGTGCCTCTTCATGCCCCCTTATGCTTTTGCTCCTCCTTCTGCTTGGAACATTCATTCTTTTCAAACGGGAAAGTTTCAGGATTCTGCCCTAGGGCATGGCCCTGTGTGTGTGTGTGTATTTGTCTGTCTCTCTCCCTCTCTCTCTCATCTGGACCACAGGGCTGGGCTCTGGCTTCTTTGTGCGTCAGCTCTGCACACACAGGCATAGCTCGTAAGTCATTCACGTTCCTTGGTTGTCCACTTCTTGTGGGCCACGTCCAAATGTTACTGCTTTTTGAATCCGTATTGTCTGACATATTATCAGCACTCAATGATTGTTGAGTGAAAAAAAACCCGGATTGTTGAAATCTGGGGCATTTTTCTAAAGGAGGTGCTGTCTCATGCCAGTGGAGAGGGTGGGGAGGGTCTTCCATGCTGTAGGAATTCTGGGGGCAAAGGCACTGAGAAATGTTTGTGGAGTGTTTAGGGAAACATGGGCTTTCCTGCTGATTATAGTTGGAGGCTGTGTTAAGGTTCGTGGAGAGAGGTAAGTAGGGAAGGCTTGCTCCTCCACCCACTGTCTCTGAGGGGTAAGGGCAGGGCTCTTGTAAGCCTTTACCCTGCCCCTAAAGATTCATGTTCCCCAGGTGTGCTTCCAGCCTTTTTGTCTTACCCTGCCTACCGACTTGGCACTGTTCTCACTTTCCCTGGGAAGCTCGCCCACCACTTGGCTTTGCACACCTTGTCTGCCTCTGTCCCCCGCTGCCTGGTCACCAGTGCCTTTCCCCTCTACCTGGGGGCCCCCTGGAAAAC